TATTTACATTTTCATCTGATATATATAATTGTATATCAAACGAACAAAATGTAAAGCAGGTAAGCTGCTCTCTGGCAGACTTCTGTTGTGTTCCTGCAAACAGCAAAGACCAGGTTCTCCTCATAAATCCATCCTGCTGTCCATTTTCTCCGGGGTCAAAGGTCGTGGCGGATGAACTCCTCAGATGGAGCATCAATAATTCTGTTGGCAGAGAAAACAACGAGGAGAGGGACAGATGGGTCGGAGCTGGAGATGATGAGTAGAGAGAGAAGGAGGCAATAAAATTAAGGAATCTACAACTGGAAGCATGGAAGTTATTTCAGGCTGTTAGTCATGTATGGGGGTGGGGTGGGGGGTGCTCTGAAGACACCTCTGCTCCAATTACAGTAATCTGACTGACCTTGCTGCAACAACAACAAAAACTTTCTGTTGACATTTTTCATAAATTGCATCAGATTAACGTTGGCAGAATGGAGAAAAGAAACTTATGTTAAAGCACTGCAGAAGCAGGACTCGATAAAAAAAATCCTCCTTATGGATAGAAACCACCATCTGCAGAATAAAATAACATTTTAGTTTAAAATAGGACAATTTCACTTTTAGGTACCGGTCTAACTCTTGTTCTCACAGTCAGACTCAGTGGTGGTCTCTTTACGCCATGTTGGAAAAAAATAGTTCAAATTGTTAGAAGTGGGGTTATGAACAATAAACATCTCACCTGTTGTGCATAGCTAACTGAATGACCTCGACTTAAAGAAATTTACAGTAACTTAATCCCGTGTCAATCATTTTTTGTAATAAATATTAATACATTTTTTGAAACAAGACGTTAACGTATCGGGAAAGAAAATTCACGCCGCTGAGATGAACAGCTGTTGAAATATTCTCATATGCAGTAACAGGAAGTGATGACCACACATGCCTGCATGTAAACAGAACGTTGCTACGACTATAACACAGACAGAGAAGAAGCTGATGCTTCTTTAGATTATTTTTAGTCCTTATCAGAGCGAGACAAGGATGAATCTGAGTTACACATGAGTTCCTGTTTTTAAAGTTTTCCCCTTTGATGTCACTTCCTGTTTCACTTTGCTCACCAAGTTCAATAGAAAATATGCAAATAATGTGACAAAATGGATAAAATCATGACTATTATGTAGGCCTGTCGCAATAAACAACAATTAATTGCATGATGAATAAAAATTATCAACCTCATTTTCATTTATCGGCTTTATCTATTTTTCGAGTCTCTCTCTTTCTACTGAAGACACTGGATGACAAAAAGCTCAACTCCGGTGCTCTTCACTGACCCCTCCCTTTCTCTTTTCTCTTTAAAATCTGTTTTAACCATTCAAAATTGCATTTTTGGATCATTAAACGCAGCTAAGCTGAGAAACTAAGCAACAAGCTAAGCTAAGAGACCGACCTCGGGGAAAAAACTCAGTTTGGTCAAAGCTCCAAAGCGCCTCCCTCCAATTTTTCTTAAAGAGACACGCTACTCGCTCCCTCACTATCCATCCTTCGGTTCAAACAGACTTATACTGCCATCCGGTGGTCAAAAAAGGTACTACACACAAAACAAAATATGATAATATAGAAAACATTTCTTCTTAAAGTTGACAATAATTACTAATTATTGTCAAATTTCAAACAATATTATCGTTTATCGCAATAATTTCTGAGACAATTAATCGTCCAGCAAAATTTGTTATCGTGACAGGCCTTCTATTATGCCAAATTTCTTAAATATTAAGGTGTTTCCTTTCACTTTTTGTATTTGTAGGTTTTGCATGTCACAGGCACTTTAAAAATATGACTAGTTTTGACTAGCTAACTGCTAGTTTGAGCAAGCCAAGATCAAAGTGGATTGTTGTAGCTTGAAAACAAATTCAATCTGAGAAGTTTTATGAAGAGCTGCTGCCTCTCAGCGAGCAGGTCCCTGGTTCAAACCCCGGTCCGGGGGCCTTTCTGGGTGGAGTTTGCATGTTCTCTCCGTGCATGCGTGGGTTTTCTCCGGGTACTCCGGTTTCCTCCCACAGTCCAAAAACATGCATGTTAGGCTGATTGGTAACTCTAAATTGCCCCTAGGTGTGAGTGAGAGAGTGAATAGTTGTTTGTCTCGTTTGTCTCTATGTGGCCCTGTTATGGACTTGCGACCCGTCCAGGGTGTACCCCGCCCCTCGCACAGTGATTGCTGGACATGGGCACCAGCGACCCCCGTGACCCAAAATGGAATAAACGGGTAAAGAAAATGGATGGATGGATGGAAGTTTTATGAAGGATCAGAGCTACTTTAGAAACCTTTACATCACAGTCAGATGTGGATTAAACAGTGATTTTTGCTAAGAATATTGTGAAGTTCCAAGGCTACACTAGAAATGCTACAACTAGCTGCTGCTGCTGCTGCTACTTGTAAAAAATGTATGTAAATAACTTTGTGAATTGAAATGGACAGCAATGTAAAAGTTAATAAAATTGCTTTCACAACATTTTTTTTCTACACATCAATGTTTCAATATACTTTTTGGAAAGTGATCGAGCAGCCATCTTCAAAATTCAAAATGTTATGTATCTCATCATTTTTGCCTAATGACAGCTGTGATAATTTTCCTGTGACACTGGACAAGTTCAAGCTCAATAATCCAGGTAAAAAAAAATCCAACAAAGTTTGTTGGATTCTTTTTAGTTTCTTTTTTTGTTGAAATGTTTCATCTTTCATCCAAAAGACTTCATCAGTCCAATGAGCCACAACAAACTCAGTCCCACACATTCACATAGTGGGCCAACCAGTAATAAACTATACACAATATGCATTGAGTGATAATCCCACACACATACAGACACGAGCTCAAACATTACTTTGTTAGCGGATGAAAAATAAGAACAATACAAAAAGTTGTTGGAAATGGGATCCTCAAATGAAATTATGTTTAGGGCCCCACACAGTCTTTGGTCAGTCGTGCACTGGAGACTGTCCCTGGTAGTTTATCTGTTGAGAAAATGTATTTGGTATACAGATATACAGGTATGGAGTTGCTAGTATCACTCAGCCCCCAATGAATAGCAAGCGGCCATCAGCGCACTAATGATCCATTCTTAGGATGATGGTCCTCCTTCGAAAATCTGGTTTTGAATATCATCAAACTGGTTGATCCACAATGGGAAGGTGCTATTTATAAGACTGAGCTAATTACAGCTCCTCAGACTGACAAAGTATTTTGGATTAAAGACGAAACGTTTCAACAAGTTTTTTATTTTTAATTTTTGAGGCCGTCCAGAGGACCTGATTTAACTTTGTTAGATTTTTCTACCTGGATTATTGCTCATGCCCCTCCAAGCACTTTGCAGATGTTGGATTCTGTCTATCATGGTGCGCTAAGATTCATAACTGGTTGTAACTATTGTACCCATCACTGCACCCTGTATTCACTGGTCATCATTAACTTCACACATCACACAAGAAACTGTCCAGATGACCTGACTGAAAATTGTTGGATTGTATACGTGGATTATTGAGCATGGACTATTTTTGAACTTCACACATACTCTCTCATTGGTACATTCTCATCTCACTTCTTGGTCTGTTGTCTTCATACATCTCCTCCTACATGTCTCTGCGTGAGTGCAGCTACAGCGTGCGCTCTCAGGACATTATTACCTGCAGTGTTCTCTCAGTCCGGACTGAACTAGACAAAAGGTCCTTCTCCTACTCCGCTCCTGTAACATGGAATACCTTGCAAAAAGATTTGAAGCTCTCAATCTGGACCTCCCTAAGTGACTTCAAGAAACTGCTAAGTTCAAGGCAAAAACCAATGCAGTCATGTTCCTGTTTTTAGTATTCTACATCGCTTTACAATTTAGCTGTTTTTTTTTTGTTTAGTTTTTTAAATACAATTTTCTTTCATTTATTCTTCTCAATTCAATTCAATTCAGTTGATTTATATAGCGCCAAGTCACAACAGAAGTCATCTTAGGGCAGTGAACAGAAATATTCATATATAAAATAATAATTTAACACTATTTATGTGAGGAGCAGACTGCTTTGAGTCGAACTCCATCGCAAAACTCTCATCTTCAGCAAGCATGAAGGCAACAGTGGAAAGGAAAAACTCCTTCATGAGGAAGAAACCTTTAGCTCAGGACAAGCAGCCATCTGCCTCCACCGTCTGGGTTTGAGAGGAACAGGAAGGAGGAACAGATACACAATGGCAGGTCAAGAATAGTAACAAATGAAAACTATTCAATTTTAACAATTCATTTAAGGAAATGAGGTGAATTTGTCCAGTAGTCTAAGCTTAAAACAGCATAACAAGCCGACCCTAACTATAGGATTTATCAAAAAGGAACATCTTAATCCCAGTCTTAAAACTGGACAATATGTCAGCCTTATGGACAGAAACTGGAAGTTGGTTCCACAAGAGAGGAGCCTGATAACTGAAAGATCTTCCTCCCATTCTGCTTTTGGAAACTCTAGGAACCACGAGTAAGCCTGCAGTCTGAGAGCGCAGTGCTCTGTTAGGAAAATATGGAACACTAAGATCTCAATTTACTTGCCTTCTTTTATGATTGTCTGCTGTTGTCATCACTCTTTGTTAAAAAAACAAAACAACAAAAAACAGGTCTCTCTTGTAAACGAGTCCCCCAGGCTCAAAGAGAATAACTTGCATAAATAAAAGTTGAATGAATTCATTAGGATATTTGATATTCTTGAGTGTCATTTAACATTGATAGTTTGACCCTGTGTATTGTTTATTTCAAATTTTGTCAACCGCAAAAAAACAAACAAAAAAAAAGCCTCCCTAAATGCTAAACCTCGCCTTTTTTTCGCGCTCCACGAACAAAACCGGAAGTAGCTGTGGGTGACTCTTCTTGCTCCTCTTGGTGCGTCGCTGCTCTTTGTTGAAGGCGGGCCTGTTTTAAACAAGGCGTTTCCGCTCGCCGTGAAGCAGGAAACCAGAGGAAACATGTTCGTCTTCGTGTCTGGTCCCTCCTTTGCGGCAGTTTAACCAGGATCAGATCTATCCCGACACACAACGGCCGTTTGTTGGACTCTCCATCAGCATCCCACGGCTAGCCGCGGTTCTCTCCGTCTATGGCCAATCTGACTACAAATATGTGTAAGTTTATAAACCTGTTTTTCTCCATTAGCGATTTGCTGCAGCTCATTTTACAGTTGGTAACGTTCAACACACAATTTGGTCACTTGCTCCGGAAAAAACCCCCCACCATAGTTTCATCAATTAGCCCAATAAGTTGGCTTGTAGTAAAGTCAAAGAGACACAGAGCTCGTGTAAAATCGTTCTGGAAACTTCTTAAACTTGAATAATTTTCCTGTAAACGGAGTATTTTTATTTAGCGTTTCGCTAAATGTCATTTTATATTATTAGTATTGCATTGTTCACATTAGCAGCTAGCTTTGCTAACACACAGATGAAATTTTTAGTTTTATGCTTCTGCCATTTTCAGTTTTTTTATTTATTTTTATTTTACTTTACACAATAAAGCCTCCAATAAATGCAGAGCGTTTTATTTTGATAGTCACCCTTACGTAGGGGACTTCCTCTTTAGAAACCCTCTTATTTGACTTTATGTTAAACTGGTGAATTTTGAGAAAATAAAAAAGTGGACATATTGCAAAAACTACAATTATTTGTTTTTTTGTTCCCAGAATTAAATAAGCTTAAAAAAATACCCAAATAAGAGCTGAATATGTTTAAAAAAAAAAAAAAATCACTGTGATGCCACTTTGATTGGTGATATGTGCTGCTGATTATCCACGCTGCTGATCTCATGCTGCTGATTATTTCATGCTGCTTTATTCATTCTTATTCATCTACTCGCATAGGCTCATGTTCGTGCTGCTGTTCGGCGCATTGTGTTTCACTATTATGTATTTATCAGTTTTTTTGTTTTTTAAGGAAAAAATTAGCGATACAATATTTTGCATTTAAATTATGCTCTTGGCGGGGACCAAATTTGGCCCGCTGCTCTTGAGTTTGACATGTGGAAGGTTTTTATTTTTAGAGGAATAAAGGTTTAGTATTCTTCAAATTAATGCATTGAAACCACATCATTTCATACCAGTTTTAAACTAACAAGTTAAAACTGACCGACGTATAAACGTTTTAGCGTTTCCTGAAGTTGATTAGTTGTGGTGGCCTTTTTAAATCAGGTTGACGCCAAAAGTGAATCAGTTGTTGAGGTACGCCCATGAATTAATTCTTGCGAGTTTCATTTAAATCCTTCCAGTGGCTCTTGAAATATTTTGCTAACAGACTCACTCTGTTGACTCCCAATAGTTAATGCTAAAGTTTCAAGCAAAGCTATTGCACGAGCAGTGGCGTTTTTAATTATGTTTTGTGAATCGCGCTCGGCTACAATTACACCAAACTTTAATGCATTATCTGTAAAAATGATTTGATTATAGACCATATTGTGTTTTTTAATCTCTGATGGCTGTATCGAACAACTTAGCTCAAACTGAATCTAAAAGTTAATCAAACTTAGAAGTACATCTATTCATTATTTCTTAAAACTTTCATTAAAATCTGTCCAGTGGTTCATGAGATATTTTGCTAACAGACCACATCGCCCACCTTTACCTTTTGGTGGCAGGTGATGAACGAGAAATGATTTCCATTTAACACGGTCTTCAAGCTTTATTTGTGTTTTCGTGAAATATTCAACCCACTGTTCTCTTAATTGATGCTTCTAACCTTTTCGAAGACCGAACACGCTTTTTTCCCACGAGGCCTCGGGGGTTTGCGGCTTTGCTAAAAGGCCACAGCTGAACCGAGATGCTCGCTCAGTTTCCCCGGAGATCCAGAGGTCTGTTTTAAACAGAACCATGTCTTTTAATTTAACGTGAAAGCGTTTCGTGCCTCCAGGAGTTCACGTTCCTGACAGACTCTCAGCCTCAGGCCAGGAAAACAAAACCGGCGTGTCCGTCTTGCTTCTGTTCTCCGATATTTAGGGTTGGAGCGTCGGAAGACGTGTGCTGACGGCTCGCAAACATTCCTTCAATTACTTCTGTTGCAGAGCACATAGGCTGCACACCGCCAGATTATGTAACGTCTAACAGCGCAGAAACAAACCGCCAGTTTTTTTTTATGAACGTGCAGTTTGATTTGTTTGGTCACGTTGAGTAAAAGATCCTTTGGAAGTGAACGACACGAACGGTTAACATCTTGCCTGTTGTTGATGGCTCCACAAACGACCTCAGTTAAAAGAAATCATTAACTTTTGACCAGACTAACAAGCTAACGGCTAGTCCGAGCCGAGACTAAAGTGGTTTGCTGCTGTTTTTAAACGGCTTCAGTCTCAAAATGTCACTTTTGTTACTTGCAGTTTAACCCTTCCATCGTCTAATTTTAGGACCAGTCATGCTCCTTAGGGGAGAAAGTCAACCACCTGATTTAAATGCTTAAAATACAAACGTTTTAAAATATTTTTTTCATCAAAAAACCGCCAGTAGTCACTCACTTAAGCCCCTAGTATACTCTCACGTACGTACGTACGCGCGTACTGTACGCAGAGTGTTCAAACTTCATACTGGAGCGTCCACCCCGAGCAGCTGCAGAGCAGCTTCACAGACAAGGGGCGTTTACCTTTGGGACAAATTGAGGTCGCCGATTGGTCACTTGCTGACACGCCTACTGGATTGATTGACATGCCGGAAGAAAAAAAAAGAGTGCTGGCAGCTTCAGCCGCAGCGGTGTTCTGTGTTGATATGTTGTTAATAAAAATATCTAAAAAAAACAAAAAACAAAACCCGCTGGACCTGAGTTTAATTCGCTCGTGACAAATTCCTTCATTTCTCACCATTTCAGTCATGAAGTCAACGGAGGAGGAAGAGATCACTGCCTCTTGGCAAAAACAACAAAAGAAAAGGCCAGATCAGAGATGAAGAAGGGGAATTTAATACATTGGTGTCGCGTACAAAACAGTCCGTTGCCGGGCAGTTTGTTGTGCGACACCGCATACACGTACGCGGTCTTAAAAATTGAGCTTTGCACGGACATGCCCTGGGGAGTACGCTTGTATCTCCGTGTATGGACGTACGCAGGAATATACTGGGGGCTTTAGAGCCATCTCAGCCTGAAATAAAAACATTGAATTTAAATAACTTTTTAAGAGGCGCAAGTTGGCCGCGGATCCATAAGCTGCATTTTGAAAGGCTTCCATCAGCCCTGCTTGAAAAACTGCTTTTTATAATTACCGTACTTTCCGCCGTATAAGTTGCATCAGTCCAAATATGTCTAATAAAGTGGGGAAAAAAACATCAAGTTGCTTCGCCGTATAAGTTGCATTTTTATGTGTCACCACTGACAACCCTGAAACGTGGGCCTGTGTTGTGCCAAAAATCGATTGGCTGCCAAATGGCGGCCGCTGGAGCGTGCATGGGAGGACTTTAACAAGAATTTAACAAGGTTAACACTTAAAAACAATTATTTGTTTGCTCAACGTTATAGTTAAGGTGTGTCTCAGTTGAACTTTTCCTTAATAAATGCACTTTAATGGTCAAATCAGCTGCATTTCGCCTGGGTGGCGCGGTGAAATGCCGCTGATTTGACGTTTGCTCCAGGAGTTGTAGAGCGAGATGAAAGTGCTTGGTATGGCAAGCCAAGTGTCTCTTTAATTGCCACTTTTCCCTATTAATGAGACACTTGGCTTGCCATATTAGTCGAGGGCCCTCTAGTGGCTGAAAATGGTAGTGTTCAGTATTTTCCATGTCAGAATGAATGAAATCTTCAAATCTCAGCCAAAAATTGGATTATAAATATGGGGAAAAAAAACCAAATGAGTTGCTTTGCCTTATAAGCCACAGGGCATGCAGATTTATGCAAAATGATGCGACTTATACGGCGAAAAGTACGGTATTTCCTCACTGCCTCCACGTTGGATTCTTCCTCTTATATCTGTGTTGTCTCATGATTGTCTCGACGAAGCTGTAATATGGCCTCAAAGTTAAAGAAATCTATGGTGGTGGGGTCTTTGCCTGTGTGGCCTGTTGGCACACCTGCAGCCGCGGTGGGGACAGAGTGGCAGGTGGAACAGGTGCGTTGGCTCCACCCACGCTGGGCTTTGAGGAGACAGTCGAGTCTGCTCTGAAATCAGACTTTCTGGCTTCAATTGAATCTGAAATCATTGCGATAGATAGGATGGAGATGAAGGCGGCACTGATTGATTTAAATTTTATTAGAAGCGAATTACAAGCGGTGAGAGCGGAGTTTTCTGGAAACGCCGCGACCCTCGGAGCAGAGTTTGACCAAGTCAAGCTAAGTGTAACAGAGGCTGAAAATGGACTGTCTTCATGCTTGCATGAGGTAGAGATTGCGTGGGATCATAATGAAAAATGAGGTGGATGTGCTGAGAAAAAGTCTTGAATCCGTGAACAAAATTAGGATTAATGGATTTCCTGAATCGCCGGGCTCTTGCACCCCTACAGTGATAGCCACGATGCTAACGGAGGTGCTGAATCTGGACAAGTCACTGCTAATCGACCATACAAATTACTTTTTAAAAATTAGTTTGAACTCTAAGTGCCTTAAAAAAATACTGTTCAGCTTAAAAAATAGGCTAAATAATACAAAAAAGTTCTATCTGGTCCTCTGGACATTCAAAAAAACAAAAAACAAAACAAAGCAAAAAAATATAGAAACGTTTCATCTCTCATCCGAGAGACTTCCTCAGTCTGAGGTGCTGTTTTCAGCTCAGTCTCTTAAATAGCACCATCTCAGAGTGGATCAACCAGTTTGCTGCTGACAACCAAAACCAGCTGATCACATGCTCAAGAAGGACCATCAGCCTAACAATGGATCATTAGCACACTGATGGCTGTTTACTGTTCACAGAGGGCTGAGTGATACTAGCAATCACAG